CATTCATATGACACACTTGAACACATCATGAAACCTATAGTGTTCAGTCTTAAGTGTGGGTTAACATGAGGAGTGTAATTACAGACATTTGCCAGCCAGCTGGTCAGGTTGATGTCTTATCAATAAGCAGGAACAGTGGGAGCTAAAGAAGTTGTGATGGGACCTTTTGTTTCTGCCTTGTCTTTGCTGAAACATGATTATGGATGTTGATGTGTGGACTGTAGTTGTTAGTTGAAGACTTTTTCTAGCTCTGTGTGACAGCTTGCTAGAGGTGAATGTGTGTTTATACACACTTTTGGCTCAAAACAAAATGCGTCACCAAATTTTCATTAGTGTCGCATGCTCATGGTGAGCAATGATTTAATTAATCGTTTTGAAAGTGACTCAAGGTTATGCCATTCAAATTGCTAAAGGCACAATTAACATTTTTTGGACAAGTTGGCTTGAGGTTGTTATTAAATCTGCATCTGATACGCTTGTTGCTTTTACATTTTGCCGGTTTGATCACAGCAGAACCTTGGGTTCGTCAACACCTGCATGTCGTTGTTATTAGCTCATTTGTGCCCCAAATGCGTGCATTTATTCACAAATTTATATAAAATGATATGAAATCTGTGCCATTAATGATTCAAACTATGAGTAATGATAATTTTCATTACCATGTAATTAATTCAACACATGTCAGTTATGTTTAAAAATATCTGAAAATATTCCATTTATAATAGGAATTACAGCATATCCTTGCATTGAAGAAACTGGAGAAATTTATTTAAATGTTTTCTTTATAACAACTCAAATCATTACATTTGTACTAATTGTTTATACTTATTATTAACCAAATGTTCCAGCATTTATTCAGACAGTTATAATTAAAAATATGTTTACTACCAGTCTTGTAATGTGATTCAGTAACACTTTAGAGAGATTAGCTATCTGGATTAAAGTGTGAGGTACAATATTTCCTGTGGTTCCTTGTAATTCAACTCATTGTAACAGATGAGACTTTCAGCTTTTACAAGATATGGCCAGTAATAGATGAACCAAAACAGAACGCAAATAGATGTGGAGAAACACCAAAAAATCCCCAGAGGAAAAAAAAAAAATCTTACAAAAGATGCTACACAACTTGTCTGGTAAGCATCATATTTTCATATTTCTTTTTGTTGCTCTATTAATTTCCAAATAGCTCTTTCTATTTGTGTTAACATTTTTTCATCATAATTCATGCAAAATCAAAATTCTACACAGAGATAGAAAAAGGACTATGAGAGAAAGTAGAAAAACCTCAGAGAATATGTTTAAAATACAAGAACATAGCTAAGGATGGGACTTAAATGATATGAGGACCTGGGAGTTTCCCAAAAAAGGGTGTGTTCTGTCCCATTTCAGGTAATATTACAATCATCCAATCTCGAGAAAGGAATCGTGCACAACTGTGGCTGAAGAGAAAAATAAGTCAAACACATGAAAGTTACTGAAAGGATGGAACCAAAAGAAAGATTGTGATCAAAAGATAAATGAGAAGCAATCAGATAGACAGAGTAGTGCTGCCATTAGTGATGTTTAAATATTAAAAGACGTAGAGATGTCACGCACACACACATGAAGTAGACAGGGTGACACAGACTGGCTGGGGAACCTCAGGGAACGGTTTGGATTTCAACCCCTTTGACTCTTACAGTGTTACTTACATCAACAAGGGCACAGCCAAGGTCTTCTATCTCACACACACACACACACACACACACTACCTCCTTGTCTCTCCCTCTTATCGATTACTGTGCTAAAAGTCTAGGTCCACCCACTGCCTTGCCTTTATACTTCAGAATCCAGAATAGCAGGATTCATAATGAACAAAAGTTCTTCCCTTTCTCACTGTCCCCAAAATTCCGGCCCTGATGCCCCCCCAAAATTGCAAAACTATATTTTAAATATGTTATTAATTAATTGCTATGAACAAAAGACAATTATGAGCATCATATGCATGCTCTTTTGTCATGTAATGCTTACATTTCCGCAGTGCCTGTTTTTGTTGTATGCTGAGTTCAGACTAAACAAAGTTGGCACGAAAATAGCTGGACCCAAAAGACCAAACCATTTGTTAACCAAACCACTTGTGAAATTCAGCTTTTACTCAAATACAGTATGTAACAAAAGTGAGACGTTTCTGCACATATTTTATTCTATCTTTTCCTGGGACGACACTGAAGAAATGACATGTTGCTACAATATAAAGTCGTCAGTGTACAGCTTGTATAACAGTGTAAATTTACTGTCTCCTCAAAATAACTCAACACGCAATACTACTCAATTTCAGGGTGTTAACAATCTTCTTATAGCCTAGGCCAGGGGTGTCCAATCCTGGTCCTNCGGTGACCTTCTTGCTGCGAGGCAACAGTGCTACCAGCTGCCCCACCTTGCAGCCCGCAATCAGACTAACTATGGATAATTGCAGACATAAACCAATTGTCTTATTGATCAACAGTCACTGTTAATCAGCACATGTGACTGTGCTCCTTAATTTGAACCAGGCTATTTGTACTCCTTTTTCCATTAGCCGATCCTGACAAGTGGTTCCATGGGGTCTATGAGCTATTGGGCTGGATGATATAGCTGTAAAGTCTATGAAATACACAATGAAATGCTTTATTTCAGCAGATATCAGTAAATATTGATAATCTTACCCAGGCCTACATGATATTGGCTCTTTTCTCTCAATCTGCTATCTTTACCGAGGCTTGATACTCTGGCTAAAGCCTGAAATTCAAATGGCTGTTATTACTCAGAGTTAACTTACATTAATTTTTCTATTAATTAAACAATGTATGTTTCAAATTTGTTTAAGAAAATGCATGTTTGCATTCAGTATGTTTTTTTGGCTTTCAGATTACAGACAATGAATTGTGGTGTGAAACAGTAAATCAGTAAATCGTACTGTGGGCTTATTATAATGCTCATATTTTACTATAAACATCCTACGATCTGTGAACAACATGCTTCTGGGTGCAAAATGTGTAATGTATGTTGACAAGAATTTAATGAAAAACTACACAAAATGCATATTTAGATATCTTTAGACCAGATGTGTCAGGGTGCACTTCTCCCATTCTTGCCAATTTGGACATATAAAACATCAAGCAGTGCACTGGTTTGTGCTCTTTATTATTCTTTCTGTGAAAATAATCCTAATGAGAGATATTCAGACATTTTTGTTCATGCTTGTGGATAATAATTTTATAAAAGCCTAGCAAGACTGTATCATTACAGCTTTAAAGCAGCATCAACTATAAAGACAGTATTCCATGTGGATAAGTGATACAAAAATATAATGTGTATATAACTGCGCCTAGAGGGAGATTTTAGAGAAATAGTAATTTACAATAGAAAACAGTAAAAGTATGTAATCATTTTCATTCCTTTATGGGGAGCACCATATGGGGCCTGTCTGGTTTGTGCAACCTCTGTTCATTTATCAGGGCATAAAATGTGCCAGTTGGGTTCATTGCTCTGTATATGTGTGTGTGTGTGTGTGTGTGTGTGTGTGTGTGTCCATGGCAAGTGCCAGCCTGGCAGCAGGCATTAGTCACAGCAGAGACAGAACATGCTGTCTGTCAGGCCGTCGCGTTACCATAGTGACACTGTCTGCTTCTCTCAGGTGCTTCTGGGAAACCATTCCTCACCCAAACCATCCTGTCTGGGTGCCAGCCACAGGATACAGCTCTTTTTTTTTCTTCTTCTTCTTAGCAGTCTCCCTTGTTGTTTCTTTTCCAGTCTTTTGTTTGTTCTTTGCTCCATCCTCTCTTTGAACACAGTCAGAGGGCTCAGGCTGTAATTGTTGACCCCATTCTGCATCATGAGGTGGAAAAAAAGGATAAACTTACACAGAGTGATTTCTGAGTTTTAAGACCTACATCCTGATGATGTTCCAGGTTCATACACGCACACATGAATGCACACAAAGGGTGCCAAAGTCCTGACATCCCCAGGTGAGCCTATTTGGCTCTGACCATGTATGACCTCACCCCACCAGAGTCTCTGCTTTTTGTTATTGATTGCTCTGCTGCAGCCCCACACACCCACTCCCTCCTCCACACACACCCACACACACCCACTCACACACACATACATGCTCTCAGGAGCTTCTGTTCTCAGCATAATTGTGTTTACTCAATTTGTTTAAATATGTGTTATGAGAATTTGGAGACAAAAAAAACCCACTTAACTGTCTCCAGCTCTTGTCATTGTTTGTTACATGGAACTTAGTCAAGTGTGAATCTATTCCTATATATATTTATGTGATATGTGTTGTGTTAAACTATGTTGTATTTACACCCTCCATGTTTACATTAACACCTACACTGTAACTGCAGCTACGTTTCTTGGCTAAAGAGAAACATTTAATATTCATACTATTCAAAGTTACTACGCGTAATAAATAATGAATGGGCTGAAGGCAAGCTGTAAACCGCGTCATTTTCACAGGAATTGTTTTGTCATTGCAATTTTTTCTTTTATTGTATTTTTTGTTATATATGATAAGTAAGTAACCTCAATTAACTTGTTAAAATTTCTGTAATTGATAAAATGCTCATCACCACTCTGTAAAGGTTGCCAAATGCATTCGTTTATCTCATAAAACAAATACAAGCAGCAAATGCTTTCAGCTCAGAACCTGAAGCAAGCTAATGTTTCTCATTTGAACTAGAAAAAAAGTTGACCTTATCAAGCCAAATTAGATGCTGATTAATAAACCTTTCAGTTCACTAATCAGGGATCTGATAGATAATTTTAAGATGCATAGTGAGATTTAACACAGATTTTCTGTGCTAATTATTTCATGTTTTTGACCAATTTTGGGGGGGACTTAATATTTCTTGGTGATAAGAAGGTTGAGGATTATTGTCCTTGTTAGAAAGATAAGAAAACTATAGATGAGGTCAATTAGGATTAGATTTTATTGTATTATCACCTTAATTCTCCATCTCTTTGTTTCACCCCAGGGTTCAGCCACCTGCGTGGCCTTCTCTAGGACAGGCGAATACTTCTCTTCTGGAGGCTCGGATGAACAGGTGATAGTCAGTTCTTCTAACCAAGCCTAAATTCTGAACTTCATATAACCAGACTTAGACTTTTGTTATCTTATTTTGGAATAAATGTATATTTTCTATACAGGTAATGGTGTGGAAGAGCAACTTCGACTGTGTTGAAGGCAATGATGGTGTCAGACTGCAACATAAAACTGCTGTCAGCCTTCAGGCACCACCAGCCAGCTCTACGGCTCGCTTCCCCCTTAACTCGCATCCATCTGTGCTCCAAAGCCAGGTGAGTCCTCACAGACACAGCAAGGTTTATTTATTTGTTTTTCTATTTGCTTTATTCAGACAAAAATCTCAGGAAAGCCTATAGTCAAACCAGGGACTCTGCTGCTACGGGTATTATAGACCGATGTGGTAAACACCCTTATCAGCCATCGGGTTGTCCCAGGTGACAGCAATTCTGCTTTGATGCCCTAGTTAGATTCAGCATTATGTGTATCCTGGGGAGGTTAATTAATGATTATGAACTGACTGTAAGTGTGAGTGTGAGCATCAGTGGTTGTGGTGATTCTTCAAGACAGTATGCTGCCTGTCGCCCAGTGTCAGCTGGCAGAGGTTTGGGTAAACCTAATAGCATGGTATTATGTGCATCCTCTTATCTCCTTCACACAAACAAATGTTTATCCCAGACAGAATTACACACCAATTACATACCACACATATTTTCCCACACGCAACCTTTACATGCACACATTACTATTGTCCCAGTTACTAAAAGTTTTTAACTTTCTCATAATGTTTGAGATTTTTGACAAGCTCCATTTGGATTTTTTTAAGTGTAAAAAGGGTTTTGTGTGGCTCAGACTTTAGTAAAAGAAGTAACTGAAGTAGTAATAGGAGTGAATAGATTTTTAAAATGTATTTAGTTTTTATTTTTTGTTCTGTCGTGAATAATTTGACAATAAATGCATACATACAGACGCAGGGTAGTTGCAGATGTGCCTCTTAACCACTAAGCCACCAGGATGCCACAATCTCAGACAGGCAGTTCTAAAACCTGTTGAAGCCAAAGACTTGAGGATATATCATTTGAGAAGAAAACTAGGTGTGGGACTTCAACGTGTTAATTAATACGAAAATAACGTGTTAAAGTCCCACCCCTAATAAACTTAAAAGCGCTGGAGCTGTTTGCGCTAGCAGTCCTGGATAGCAAGGATTTTTTTTAGCGCATTATTTTTGTTGTAATTATTTAATCATAATTAACGGGTTAACGCGTTAAAGTCCCACCCCTAAAAAAAAAAAATATTTAGAGGTAATGAACATCACAGTGATTACTTGCATATTTTTTACAGCTGTGCTACTCGTGCTGCTAAATCTAAAATTTGTCATAAAAGCGACCCAAGCAGCAAAATTCTTAGGAAAACTCTAAATTATTTAGAAAGGATCACCATATAGTTTGTTTGCTATGTATGTATACACACATACA